CTTAAAACATCACATTCCGCATTATTCATTCATTCGTTTGTTCGATCGATCGTTTGTTTGCCGAAGTATTAAAGAGTTTGGTACTGAAGAACTGTTTCAGTTGCAAACTTGATGGAAGCAAGGGCGGATCTAGGGTGGGGTGCAGGGGGTGCGGACCCCTCCCTGAAATGAGCTAACGGTTTTCGTGTAAGCTTATAAGAAAAAAGTAAGTCAATTATGTCACAAAATCAATTGACATGCACGAAGAACATGAAAACGATATACTGATGTTCTAATCTCTATTTTATACCTATTTATCTGATTGTCTAATGTAAAAGTTGATCGAGTTTAATAAAGCTTGTTTTAGGTTTAATGTTGTGAATCGTTTTAAAAATTAAACGAATTTGGAAATTGTAAAAACAATTTGTGATCTTATATCGGAGAAAAAAAATGTGGAAAATTTGCATGCACGGTGTACAGTTGTACAATGGATTTTGAGTTTACAACAAAAGCACAATTAGTTTTGGCCTTGAGACTGATACAAAATTTTTTTTATTACATTTGTGACCAACGGTTCATTACATTTGTAACCTTTATTACATTTGTGACCAAAGTTTATTACATTTGTGACCCTTATTACATTTGGGTCCAGTTTTTACATTTGTGCCTTCTACAGCCCTCAGCTGTCTGCATTATACCTACGAATGCTGCGTGCCTCAGTAATTATCTATTAAGTAATATTTTTAAAATGCATTTATAATTCATGAAGGAAACACAATAGAAATCATGACCGTGAAGGAGGTTTTATATCTGATATAGATTCGTCTTCATTTGCATAAACATTAACTTGGATTTAATTTCTCTATCAAACTTGGTTCATTTCGTAAAGAATTCGGAATAATATGAGAACTTACATCATGAGTTTTTTAAGCCGTTTAATAAACTCGCAGATCGTGTTTTATCGGGTCTAAAACCAGTCGGCTACGCCTCGGGTTTTATACCCGATAAAACACTCCTGCTCGTTTATTGAACATTACATACAGTATGAGTGGCCGGATAAAACACGGACACGAATTAGACTAAATATTGTAGATTGCTTATCAAACGCCTTGGTTAGTTCCTTTGTGTTTCACTCAAATTTTCAAAATTAAAGTGAATCTGGCCAAGAAAATCCATTTTAAAGTTTATGCAATGAACACARTTTTGTATCAGATTTACAACACTCTTCATGGTCGTGATTTCTTTGTTTCTATTTTCGTCATGAATTATTAATGAGTTTGACAACTATATTCATTAATGATAAATTATTTTATACCTCGAGAGATGACCTTTATAATTCTACAGAAAATGAGTATAAGACATTGTGGGTTGAGATTGAAAATCGTGATCAAAATATAATTTGTGTTGTGTTTTATAGACACCCTAATGCCAATCCTGATATATTTACAAATCACTTGTTTTCATCTCTTGAAAAAATTCACAGTGAGAAAAAAGTTTGTATATTGATGGGTGACTTTAATATTAACATACTGAAACAAACAGTTTTTTTGTCTCAATAGCTATCAAATCGACCACTAAATGCACTAAATATTTTATTCATACTACATCTTTATACTTTATTTCTTTTAGACTACTCTGTTTCTATACCTAGCGATTCGATCCCCGGCATAACCGAGAAAACCCGTTACATCATGAAATAGAGACACTAGCTTGAAATCATATAAAACAACCTTTATTATAACAAACAGTACTCCAATAAGATATATACTATATAAGTTCAGAGGTCTCTTGTTCTTTGATTGAATCATGCATAAACAGTCTGCAAACATTTCATGGATCGTTTTTACATTGTATAATTAATAGCACTGAAAACACTAAAGTCGATGAATATTACTAGTGTATACTCTCTTTGTATTAAGCCCAATAGCTATCAAATCTGTCAAATTTTATTTATTTAACTACATCTTTACATTTATTATATCCGAATAATATAACCCGGCATTCGGGTCTATCCCCAGTACAAAACTAGGCCGCCATACTGTTTTTTCAAGTTCATAACATGGTATACTACGACTTTGAATTCTTGACAAAATTTTTAATTCTAAGGCAAAAAAATAAACGAGTTCAGATTATATCAAAAATTTCCGGAAATAAATAATTAAAAGTATTAATTATATACTGATAATCAAAAAATGTACAACAAAGTTTGCATCTTAGGCTATGCGAATTTGCGCCAGTCTCTTACTCCGGCTGAGCCTACAATACTCATTGGCTGCGGCTACAAGAGATTGTACTTGCAGCAACCAAAGAGCTCTCATGTTGCGCAACACCACAAGCTACAGACGACTTGTCGCTTTGGCTTTGAAGAAGAAGAAGTCAAGAAGAAGTAAAGGTAAACTTTAACTTTCAAATGTTGTGCTTTGAGCTATTTTAATGCCGTGTATGATATGACTGAATTGAAAACAATGTCAGAACATTTGAAACCATTATAAATTCAGCACGCAAGAAACAGCACTATGAATTCTTTCTTTTAAGAATCATTGTTTATTCGATGCGATACTACCAGATTGCATCATCGGAGCTTTCAAAATCTTTTTA